CTATGAGAAACTGAGGGAGGCACTATAAGTTGGAAAGACTTCTCATGCTCTATATCAGCTGAATTAACATTGCTTGAAAAGTCACTTCATGAAGGTCAGTCATCTTGAAGGCTCAGTGCAGTCCTCATCAAAATTATACTGGAATTCTTCCTATAAATACGAAACAACCCAACAGTTCATGTGGAAGCACAATAGCTATTAAATAGCCAAGGAAATCCTGAGTCATTTGGTGCCGTGTGTATCAACCTCTCCTTCTCAGGTGGCTGCAAAACACTATTCTCAGGGATCACTGGGAAAACTAACTTCTTAGAAAGGCACTGAAGGAAGACAGTTATTTCCATGATCACTACCATCACCATAATCATCACCAGCATGGTCACCATGATCATCATCTTTAACATAACCGTTCTGCCAGGGTCATAATGGTAGAAATGATCATTAACACTATCACTATGAACATCAACACTACCGTCACTGTGGCCACCGTCGTCATTGCCACCATCACCACCACCACCATCACTACTATCCTCATCTCCGTGATCAGCAGCAACAGCATCACCGCCTCTAGTCTTCTACTTTGGCATCTTTAATGGAAACTCAAAATCAAGGTCCAGGAAGACTCGGTGTTTGGTGAAGATCAGCTACATGGCCATAGATAGTATCTTTTTCCTCTATAATCACGTGGCAGAAGAAGGTGCTGCCTCTGGAGTCTCGGTTTTAAGCCTATTAATCTTATTCATGAGAGATTTGCCTTTATGGTGCAAGCGCCTCTCAGATTCTCACCTCTTACGGCCATTGCATTGATAACGTTAGATTTTCCATGTGCAAATGGGGGGGGGCACAATAACCCAGTCCCTAACACCACCACCACCACCATTATCATTTTTACTATTGTCGGCACCATTGGAACCACAGTTCCCATCAGCACTCTCAGCCTTACCATCATCAGCACGTTGATTGAGAGGTCCTTACATTCTGGTATGGTATTGCCTTCTTTACCTGTGCTATCTCCTTTCACAAGAAACTCAAGAGTTAGTTGAGACAGGAAGTGAGGCATTGATTGCCCTTGGTCTGCCTCAGCTTCTCTTAGAACCCCACAAGCTGAGTTGGTGGCAGAAAGAGGTAATGAGGAAGCCTCCCCTCCACTCCACAGCTTCTTTCACAGCTCTAATGAGCTAGACTCTTGTAGGCCCGAGGCATCAACATTGGCCTTGTTTTAATTTGCACCTTTCCAAATGAGAAGCAATTACATGATAATGATTCATTTCTCTAATGTGGCAAAAATCAGCTGCTAAAAAGGGTAAAAGCAACCCACTGCACTCATATTCTGACCATTGTTTTCCTGTTCCTCTGAGGAAAGGCAAAGCTAGGTGCAGGGCACTCAAAACTAACAGAGCCATTATCATCACCACACTGGGGGCAAAGAGGCCAGAATGAGGAGATTGTGTTCACTTTCTTTTTTACAGAAACACACACACATACGTGTGTGTGTGTGTGTGTGTGTGTGTGTGTGTGTGTACTCCTTTTGTCAGTTTACCCACAGGTGAAATGGGTCGTAGGAGCTGTGAGGAGACACGGATGAAAGGGCATGTGTGTCATAGCCCAGCTCAGGAAGTCCATTCCACGTCTTATCTACCACCCCTTCCGGGGCATTGGAGCAAGTGCTGACAGTCTGCCTTGTCACTGCCTTGTCCTCTCTTCCCAGTTCTTAAATTGCCACTTCTTTAGTAAGTGAGAAAGAGGCTAGAAAAGTCATGAAGCCATTTGTCTGCTTCATTAAGGAGGTTTCCATGTCTCGTCTGCATCTAAATCTGTAGAGTCCTCACACCAGGGCCAGTCATCAGGATGAGTCCTATGGAGCTTGCATTTCAAGGCAGAGAGTTACAGAATAGCCAAATAGCATGAATATAAGACTAAATTTTAAGAAGCACCAGATAGTGAAATGAAGAATGACAGAGTGATGGAAAGAGTGGGGATGGGCATCCTAACTGAGCTCACCTAGAAGCTCCTGTGCATCCTAACTGAGCTTGTCCAGAAGCTTCCATTGAGCAGGTGGAGTGCATAGGAAGGTCTGTAAACAGCCTAGAACCGAGCCCTGCAGATACCTAAATGACGAGCTTCCAGGCACAGGGGCTCCCCAGAGATATCCTACTAGATGGGTGGAGCCAGAGGGTGGGCAGAGCACTATGGGTGCACAGAAGGTAGGACCACCAGAGCCAGGGAAGAGTGATGGACAAGGAAGTTGGAGGTAGAAGGCAGTCTTGCAAGGAGAGGGAAAAAGAGGAAGGGGATCCCTGAGGCAGAGAGATAGAGGCTGAAAGAGAGGGAGCAGGTGCCACCGGCAGGGTCTTGCCTGAAGAGCCTAGCACCGCCATTCAAAATTAGGAAGGGGGCTGGGAGTGGCTTAGAAGTCACAACACCTGCCCAGCATGCACAAGTCCCTGGATTCCATCCTCAGCACTACAAAAACAAACAGACAGGAAAAATATCTTCCTGAGACTGGCCTGGAACAGGTCCAGCCCTGCAGCTGTCAGCTTGGAGTTCAGGGAACACTTTCAGCCTCCCACCCGCAGGGCTCAGCCTCCCAGTCTGGAAGGTTGACCTTGTAAAGGGCAGATGCTTGTCACAGCTAACCCGGGATGTCAGTACTGCCCAGCCGCAGAGCATGCTCTCTGGCTTCTCTAACCCTATCCCAGCCCTGTAGCACAGGCTGCATAAGCTGGGGGTTGAGGGGATACCTGGAAAGGGAAAATAAGGAGATGGAAGAAAAAGGCAGAACCTGGTCTATTCAGGCTTTCACCTATTCAGGCTTTCTGCCCTGCAACCTGCCCCACTGCCCAGCACTGGGTTTCCTTCTGAACATCCTCACTCAGCCTCAGGCTGGCTTTGAGAAAGAGTGTTTCCAAAGCTAGCTCTGCCATGGATTCCTAGAACCTCCCTTGGAGGCTCACCCTTCTGTACCCCAGTGTCCTGTCTTGTAAACTGAGTTAATGATGCACACCTAAAAAGAGTCTTAGTAGCAGGTCAATGGACTACCATAACTGCGCAGGCAGCTGCAGAGGTCAGACCACCGTAGATATCATTTCAGGTAAGATGTTTTACCTTAACTGAGAAGAATGCAGGAAAAGTCCAGTGCACTTGGGTCCCAGCCCCATCTCTGACCTGCTGCCACTTGTGGGACCCAGGATAATGTCTCTATCCCTTCATCAGTGTCTTGTCTGGGACAGATTCCCAACACACCTGTCTCTGAACACAGTTGTTAATAATACCTCCCTTATACTCTCAAATGTCTGACTGGAAGACAGATCGTTTGGCGTCTCTGCTAGTAGATGACCGTGGCAGTGCTACCCTCGAGGGTTTGGATGAGAACAAACTTAGAAGTGTGCCCTCTCACCATCAGGCAGCCTCTGGGGATTTTCACATACATCTTCACACACTGCCCTTAGCAAAGACAGGCAGAGATTTGTATACCATGACAGCCAGTCACACAGGCACCAGAGCCTCCCAGCAACAACAGCATGCTATTGAACCTGAGGGGGAAAAAATCCATTCTCCAGCCAGCTGAGTCTCAGCTCCACTAACCAACCTACTGAGCCGCTGCCCCACCCAGGTTCCCAATGAGCCCATCACCAAATGAGCCGCCTGTCCACCTGACCCATCCCTCCTTCATCAGGCTGCTCTGTTTTTCCTTGAGTATACTAATTTAGCATGTTGGGATCAGTCACACCTGGATTGCTTTCCTCTTTAAGCATTTGGGAGCTGATTAAGCTGAGCTCTCACCAGGGTGATAGGCCTTCTTAGCTGTGAGGAGGTTTCTGATGCTCTGCTGTAAAGCTCGGACAGTAGGTCGCTCTTCGTGTCACAGCAGGTGAACCTCTTGTCAACAGGGACTCAGAACAAGGCACATGTGTGTGGGCTTCCGTCTTGGGCAGAATGGGACCTGGGAAAAGCCAGAATGGGCTTCCTCAGAAAGGACTCAAAACAGAGGTTTCCTTGGGAGATTCCAGGAGACAGCGACAGTGGGTGCCAGTACACAAAACAGCAATTAAAGAGCGTCGCAGGTACATTAAGGAACGATATGGGAGCTTGTTTGGAGGCTCTAGCAGGGGAGCACAGCTGCTCATATACCCTTGATCAAAGACTGGTCTTCCTCTATTCTAAGAAGATGACTCTGTGACAGACAGGAAGCAGAGAGACAGGAAATGGTCCAAAGAGACATAATACCTATCTCCCCAGGGCTTTCCTCTAGAGAAGGCAGAACTCCATGGTGAGATAACTGAGAGAGCAGAGATGCTCACTCCATAACAGACAGGAAGGGAAGGGGGGAGAGGGAGAGAAAGAGAGAGAGAGTGGATAGCAGCAGTGTTATCTGTTCAGGGCATGCCTTCCCTCCCTCTAGCTAACACCATCAAGTGTTTAATCTGCTGATTAGGTTGGAGTCCTCCTGAACCAGTCACATCTCATGATTACATGCAGATACCTAAATGACACTAGCTAGAAAGCCAGACCTTCAACTCTGAGCCTTTTGGGTGACACTTCATATCCAAACCATAAGTATCCTAATTTGGAGACGGAGTCAAAAGTCAGGCTAACACAAACGCTGTGAACACGTGTAAGGTGTTGAGGCTGAGCAACTAGCAGGTAGCTGGAGCGCATTAAATGCTTCTTAACCCAAGACAGGTTCATAGGAACATGACCCATCTCTAAACAGATCTGTATTTCATCAATGTCTCCTGCTTTAAACTCAGCACATGCAGTACTGAGTTAGTGATGGCTCTCAGCCCAGGCCCCATGCCTCTTAGAACTAGGACAGGGAAATGTTTGTGTCTCTGGAGCTCAGACCTGAGGGCTGCTAAGGGCTCCAACCCTCCCTCATGCAGGTGCAGCTGCTCCTGCCAAGACAGCATCCTTGCTTCATGGTGGTCCAGCACCTGTCTATGGATGCATTGGTGGTGAGGTCTGTTCAGGGGTTCATTCCTGTCTCAACTCTCCCCTCACAGGTGGGATCCCATTCATCCTGACCGGAGAGTTCTTCCAGCAGTCAGAGAGGCCAGCAGCCTTTATAATTGCAGGCACAGTCAACTGGCTCTCCAACTTCGCTGTGGGGCTCCTTTTCCCCTTCATCCAGGTAAGTGTGGTGAGGAAGCCTCCAGCCATCACGTTGCCTGGGGACTCAGACATGATGAAATTCATCAGGTTGCACTCTGCCCTCATGACTTACGGATCGCTTTTGCAATGTGCTCACCACTGTGTGGGACAAATCTAGAAATTATGCAGTATGTGTTTTACACGCACTCCAAGCCTCCCAAAGAAGACACTGATTGGCTGGGAAATGCCAGCATACTCCAGAAGGAGATGCAAACTCACTGGCAACGCGACTAGTAATGCAACATGTGCACTAGTTATGTAACATGGGGTTTGCAGGGTTTGGGGCAACACAAATGTGTGGGCCCCGGCCTTTGGTTCTGGGTCCCGTGGGCTGTTGGAGGTATGGTGATCCCAGAACACTTGTTAAAGGAGTGGCACAGGAATAGAGACATGAAAAAAGTAAGGAGCAGGGTTGTCTGGGAAGTACAAAGTCCAGGCTACTGTAACAGCAGTGCAAAAGCCCCAAGGCTGGCCTGAGTAGGAAACAACATAGGGACCAAATGGCAGCAGGGTGAGGCAGCCAGGTGGCTGTGTAGAAAGTGAGCTCTTGCAGTTGTCCATAAACGAGAACATGAACGACAAGGTCTTTGCCAGGGTTCTGTACAGAGACAGGGCCCAGCAGCATTCAATCACCAGGTGAAATGTCCCTGCTCCAACACCCTGCGGTGTTCCCTGATGTCCACTGCACAGGTGAGTCCACCTGGAGAAGGTGAGCCTACATCACGCACCTCCAAAAAAGTGCCTACTATCTCTTCTCAAAGGACACTTCCTCCCTGCTGAACTGTTCTAGAAAACCGTTCAGAGCCTTTTAGTTTGCTAGGGATAGCCCCAGCATGTCCCAGAAATCCTAGTGCCAGCCAGAGTAGAAAGAAGGTACTGTCCCCAGCCCGCCATGACTTAGCACAGCTGCAGAACTATGAGGCAGCTGCTTCTCTCACAGGTGCAGACCAGTTCTTTTGTGCCACTGCATCCGAGTTTGGCTTTGTGTCCATGTCATGTCTCACAGCCCCTCACCTGGACTTACTCCTGACCCTCTTACAACAAGACCACTTAGGCCAGGGAACAGGTGGTCCACCATGGCCCAGCTCCCCTGCCTGCTTCTCTCTGTGCTGGTTTTTCCATGCGTTGCAGCCTCCTCAACCCAGCAGCTAGAAAGCAGGAGCACTGTGAAGTCTTCAAATAATCTCTGGCTGCATTTAACCAATGGCTTCCCATCTCAAGTGCTCCAAGCCTCTCCAGGGGCCACAGAATACACGAAGGGACTACACTTAGCACTCTTCTCCAGGGGTCCCTTGCCAGCTGCAGCCAGGACATACCAAGCTGGTTTTTCAATTGGCTCATACCTTCAGTGGGCTTTTTCTTTTTGCTTAAAGCTATCAGACAAAGTCTGGAGTCAGTAAAGCATCCATTACATGGAGAAATTAACTTGAAATTGCCTGTTGCCCCTCTTTTCCACTCCTTTGAAACTGAGCCTTCCCACTTTCTGGGTCTGTGAATCAGGTCCTTGTCTTCTCTGCACCTGGGGGTGGGCAAAGTAGAAGACCTGATTGACACTACAGTCCGGATGCCATCCTGCCAGGCTGGAAGTGGGAAGCCTCTAGTGGCACATTCACACACACCCCTGAGCACTTGCTGTGTGCCAGCAAATGCTCAACCTTGTCAATGCCAGGAGGCACAGCCTCCAGCAGCCCTTCTGAGAGATACCTGAGGTCTCACTGGGCAAGACAGAGTCAGAACCTGAAGCCAAGTTCTTTATCCTCACCTGTAAGACAAGGAGAGAAGGAGGCCTTTGTTAGTTGGCAGATAACCCTATTTTCAAAATCCACCTCAAGTTGAGTAGTTAATTTATTCCAAAAAAAAAAAATTGCTTACGGATACAGATAAAGATTTACCCAGAGGGAGCCATTCCTCAGTGTCTTCCACAGAGCTCTGTGTTGAGAATGTGTGTGTGTGTGTGTGTGTGTGTGTGTGTGTGTTTCATTGGAGCCATCTCCAGCTGACTCTAGTTTCACTTGACCTTTATTTCACATCGCTCAGATTTGCAAATCGTTTCCCATCTGCACATCCCTCCAGTGGCTTCATAGTACTGCGCCTTCTCCGGCAGTTTCCCATGTGTCGGGGGCCCACATTTCATATTCATTTTCATTCAGTGCAACTATCCCAACCCACTCATTTGGCTTCCTTGTCAGAGAGGAAGTCACAGAGGGAGCAATGACTACATTTTGGCTATATATGGGGCCATGGGGCAGACAGGCTGTAGAGTGGACGTTCTTACTGCTCTGTGGATCAGTCAGGATGGGCTGTGTTTTCTGTAAGAACTAGTAGCCCCCAAATGAGGCCCGAAGACAGGAAATACCCAGTTCATGGTAACTCATTACAGCAGCCATTGAAATAAATACAAAACAAGCCAAGCACTCACACAGTACACTGACTGAATGAGCCAGCCCTGTGCAGCTGGCTCTCCCTGGGCATGTCATGTAGTGTGACTTGTATAATCCCATAATAGGTCTCTGAGGTCTCAGACACCCCCCCCCCCACCCCTGGCCTCCTCTTACAGATAGCAGCTGATGCACAGAAATGTCAAGTCACTTCCTCGGGGTTGCCCAGCTAACAAGCCACTCTGGAATGCTCATTCTCAGCCACTGGAGTGGACAGCCCGAAATCTCAGGCAGGGCCACCTATGCAGAGGGTGAGAGGGTAAGGATGATAGAAGGGCTCTAAATGATTTTTAGATTGCTTCTTATAAATACCTGGAGCTCATTGTTCTGGCTAGAAGGGTAGCTGTCTGCAGCCATCCCTGAAATTTGGATTTTCTCTGTGATATAAGAATAAGCCTACCTCAGACCTGCCTGTCCTGGGCTCCTGCCAGAAAGATGTGTCAGATAGCTGTGGGTTCCTAGGGTGCTAATTAGGAAGGCCAAACAAGTGTCTTGTTTTTATTATACTTAGTAGTGTGTGTGTGTGTGTGTGTGTGTGTGTGTGTGTGTGTGTGTGTGTGCAGGAATAACTTGCAAGAGTGTGTTCCAAGCTAGATCTTCTCCATGCTACAGGGCAGGCTGGTGCCAATCTGAGAACCTCTGTGTGGGGCACTCTGTGAGCAGGTGAACTGTGGGTGAATGCTCAGGACTTACATGCGGAGAGAGCCTGGGCTTGCATGTCAGCTCTGCTGCTACTATGCAGTGCGACCCTGGGCAGGTTCCTCACAGTCTTCAAATGGCATTGTGTGTGGAGGACAACAGCGGAATCCACTCACTGGGCCCTTGTGATGACCTGTGGTATGGTGCTTGAAAAGCATCCTTAGACAAGGGAGAAGGCTTGATGGACAAAGTGCATGCTATACTAGTATGTGGATATGAGTTCAAATCCCCAGTACTCATACTCATGTGCAGAGGCACATGCCTGTTGTCCCAGTGCTGGGGAGATGGAGATGGAGCACTCGTTGGGGCTTGCTGGCCAGCCAGTCTAGCCAAATCAGTATGTTCCAGGTTGAGTGAGAGACCCTGTCTCAAAATAGAATGTGTAGCATGACTAAGGAAGGTCTATGACATCAACCTCTGGCCTCTGAATGCACACACACATACACACACATGCACACACACTCACAAATAATAATAATAAAACAAAAGTTAAAAAACAACAAAATTATACTTGACAGGCCACAGCTTGGGCCAGGCCATGGACAGAAGTGGGTACAGGCTGACAGACGGTCTTAGGGAATGGGATGCCGTGGGCCCTGAGCTCCAGGTGGCAAGGCAGACCACAGAACCGAAGGATAGTGTGTATGTGTTTCCCACTGTAGTGACAGCACACTCCTGGTGCTGTGTTTTAATGGGGTGCATCTCCTCCTAAACTTATGCTGAAGTTTGGTCCCCAGTTGTCCTGGTCAGACTTGTTACAGTGAAAAATGCCTGTGAGGAAGCAGAGATCTTTCAGCTCCCAGTTCACCATTCCTGTCAATTCCCAGCCTGCTCTGTTGCTACCAGCTGAGCATCAAAACCTGTGAGGGGTTTGGATGAGCTGCAGTAGTTCACATAGGTGTATTTCTAGGGCACACCTCCAGGGATACACTTCCTCTAACTAGGCCCCGCCCTCCACTTGCGTCACGTCACCTCCGACAGTTCATTCTAGATGATGACTCTACCAGAGGACAAATCCACTTAAGGAGACGGGACCCTAGTGACCCAACTACTTCCGAAAAGACCTGTGGAATGCTGTTGCACTGGTGATCAGACCTTCAACACACAGGGCTTTTGACGGGAGACCCTCATATCCAAATCAGAACTGTAAAGAAGTGTTGGGGTTCAGAAGGCTACCCCTTCATGAAGATGTCAAGCTGTGTCCAGGGGAATGAGTTAGCTCTCATGGGAATCATCTCAGAGCAGAACATTCTAGCTCCGTGCTCAGCTCCTCTCTTCCTTCCTCTCAGGTGCCTGGTACCCTGTGGCTCTCATCGCCTCTCCCATGTAAGGACATTGATATACAGAGCCCACCCAGGTGGTTGAGGATCCCCCTTCCATAGCTAGAACTTTAGCACATGTTCAAATCTCCTGCCACCCCCCCCCCCTTTAAAGAGAGCAATGTCCTGGATCTTTGAAGGCTAATATACATTATGAGGTGTGTTTTAGGATCAGGGGCTGGACATATAATTGGAAACTCTTCTCCCTGGATAAGGATGCATGTGACCTGGAACCCCCAGGAGAAGTCATGTGACACCAGTTCTGGGTGATTGATTACCTGGCATGTTGTCACCCAGAAGATGACAAGAATGGACATGCCCACTATTGCTGTGGAAGACGCACTGGCTATTCTGACTCAGCACCCAATAGCAGTCACTGTGTGCTCATCTTCACACAGTTACTCACTGTTCTCAGCATTTGGGATAGATCCTACTGGACCTTAGTGTCCTCATTTACTCCAGTAGACCAAAGGGATTCAATCTGGAAGGCCCGTGAGTTTAGGAGTTTAGGATGCCTGGTTGGG